TTGACTATTGTCATAAAAGCCAGAGGTTGTTTCCGCCCAGTTTCGAACTGGGGACCTTTCGCGTGTGAGGCGAACGTGATAACCACTACACTACGGAAACCTACAGGCACAACAGGCAGATAAGCCTTTTTGATTGGGTGCCTGTCCACGATCATTGCTAGTGCGGCAGTGGATGCTATTATTTTTTCGCCAAAAGAAGAACACTGTTTCTGCTCGGTTACGAACCGAGGACCTTTCGCGTGTTAGGCGAACGTGATGACCACTACACTACAGAAACCCCACAAGTGCTTGCACCGGCGAAGTTAGGCCTGCAAGGATAAAACAAGGTGTACGCGTTTGTCAATCAAGCGGACAAAGCCAACTCAGCGTGACAAGCTCCCTGCAGGTATTAGGGCCAATTTACAATCCGGGCCCAACACAGCTGTACAGGTCCTTGCGAAATGTCCCCTTTCGTCACATTTGAAGCACCTGAATTCTGGGCGTTCCTTCATCACATTTTCTGAGCTCATGCATAGTCGACAGGTTTTTACCTGATTGGTGTGCATGACTCTAAAGTGCTGTGGCCCTTCCGCCGTCTCGATTTTGGTACTGTATGGTAAGGAGACCGTCTCTTCTGGAAATCTGTTTTTTACAAACCTTGTTCCATCTTCTATGTTTGTGCCTGGATACAATCTTCTTTTAATTTTAGATATGGGGAAAACTCCCCATCCCTCTAGCTTGCTTAAAATTTCTTCATCAGCTAGGTAAACAGGCAGATGCTTGAACGAAACAACATAGTCTGTGTTTTGTAACGTCCGTACTTCAGATTTCACTCCTTTACTTGTCAATCCATTGTCTATTAAATTTTCGGTGTCATCTTCAGTCTCCATTGTTACTTCATACTCCCTTGTTTGTTTGGGTCTCACCGCCAGAATTCTTCCTTCTCCAATCAGCTCCGTGACTGCTTTGATTATATCAAATCTTCTTGCATCTTTTACATTTCTACGTCTACAGTTACTGTTGCTTTCTTTGTGCATACTCTTCTTTGTATCTCTTGCTTATCCTTACCTTTTTCACCTCTTCGTTGGCCGGGCTCTTCATTTTATTTATCTCTTTGTCTGTTGTCAAGTCCATTTTCTTTATCTCTTCGTCTGTCATCCAGCCCATTTTCTTTATCCTTTCGTGCAAGTCCCTCCATTTCCATGTCGTTGCCGGGTAATCTGTCCATGATTAAAAATAAAACACACAACATAACCACCCTCAAGTCAGCGAAATGCTGCTGTTAGGTGGTTTTTAAAGACAAAAACAAAACAAACCAACAAAGACGCTCAAGGTCAATAAACAAAAAGGTAGACAAACAAAATGGGGAGAGCCTTTCTCTCCTTACTGCTGCCAACTCACTTCCTGTTTGCTCTATAGCGCCCTCAGGGTGGTGTGGCCGTAAGCAATGACAGCTGTCAAGTGTTGGCTATTGAAACCAGGCGCAGCCCCCGGAGGCGAGCACAGCTTAGCTGCCTGCTGCGCCAATGAGCTGGGCAAGCTGTGAAACACCACATTCCATGTCACGGTACTGCGCTGTGGCTCCCAGGAGACAGCTCCTGCCAAGTTTGCATGTCAGGATGGCCGAGCGGTCTAAGGTGCTGCGTTCAGGTCGCAGTCTCCCCTGGAGGCGTGGGTTCTAATCCAACTTCTGACAAACCGAACCTGCGGCAGTGCGCTCAGGCTGAAGTCTTTAACTCTCTGCCACCATGTCCGAATGATACAGTAACACTGACCAAGCGCCGCATCACGCGGGCTTTAATGCAAGTGCACCGAAAAGGGGTCAAAAGAATTGTCCTGGGATGGCGTTGATTTTTAAGGTTTGCAGGGCATTTTTTTCGTCACATCCTCGTACAACGTCAAGTCATGACATTGGACAGATCCACGCCCTTGTATCGTTGATCATCCAGTGAGCAGAGAGCCAATGGAGAATGTGCGTAAAAGCAAATCTGAACGTTTCCGCACAGTTTCTAACAGGAGACCCTCCGCTTGTAAAGCCATCGTGATAGTCACAGGAGCCTCCGGTTAGGGTGAGAGCACTGTCTTGTGGTGCCATCGCAGAGAGACTGAAAGTCACTTTCCGCAATGTTTTCATTCAATGTTCTACGCTGGTGGAATCACCTTCCCATTCCCACTCGGATTACGGATACACTGGTGTCCTTCAAATGACAGCTAACACCCATCTCTTCGGAGTACACCCGAACCCCGGTGAATATCCCTCTCTCTAAAGAAAACGAAACTCCTACTCCAGCACTAAATTCTCTGAACACAAACAAATTACTTGGAGTAAATAGCCCTTTTTCATATGCATTGCCTCGTCTTGTTGAATACCTCCACTATTGTATGTCGCTTTGGACAAAAGTGTTCGCTAGTTGTATGCTTCCGCCCAGTTTCGAACAGGAGACATTTAGCGTGTAATGCAAACATGATAAAAAAAACTACACTACGAAAACCAATAGGCCAGTGCTGCTTCAAGTATTTATAGACTTTTTTTATAGAGCTGTGTAAGAATCAGCTCTTTGGTTTAAATCATGTTTAAACTTTGGGGATTCGAATCAAAGATTCGAACATGATTCACATAGAATTATTTAAAGCTTACACTCAACTTTAGTATTTGTCCAGCAAATAGAACGTTTAGTGTAAAGCAATCCTGTATTATATTATTACGTGGCCAACAATAACAATATAAAAACAGTATCTAATTATTTAATAAGCAAGGTAGCAGTATCTGAAGCTGAGGCATTAACTTATAAAGCACACAACACACCAACACGGATCTTAAAACGAAACAAAAGTTTATTGCTACTCTATAACACAAAGTACTAATCTACGTAAAACAAACAAACGCACATACATACACACACGCACAAGCAGTTTGAGGAGAGTTTTGACTGAGTGGATTTAACTTCTAGCCTTTGCTAAGTTCTTAGCATTGCAACCTGAGAGAAACCATAAAAGCAGAGAATTTCGCTATTCTTTACTACTTAAACATAATTCACACCAGAGTCAGCAATGGATAGAAACCTTGTTTGTGCTACTTGCGTTCTGATGTAATTTGGTTTCCTCGACTGGTCCAAAGGGAAATCCCGGCGAAGCTGATTGGTCAGCGTAGCAACTTCAGTGACGTGATGGAATTCCCTTGTCGGTGAAGAGGGGTTTCCTTAGTCGGTTGCTAGGGATACGGATGTTGGACAAGGCGGCGTTCGAAGTCCTTCCTGGGTTCCTGTAGTTATGATGAGTTTCAGAGTTTGGATGTGTTGACCCGATGGCTTGTTGTTGAAGCGGTTGCACAAGCAGATCGGGGGTCGAGCTGGCAGCAAGTGAAGGTCGCGGTCTGCTCCGTGATGTAACGAGGCTTCCGGCGAGGCGATGTAACGGCCACAGCACGAGAAGAGCGACGTCCGGGCAGCGACGGCGGTGACGACTGTCAAAGATGACCGGCAAAAGACGACGATGAAATTCCTTTGTTCAAAGTTTTATAGGCTTTGGTAGAGGCTGGGTCTACACAATACTTGTCCAATCAGAGAAGGTGCGGGGTGGAGTCACACCCCAATTCTGCCCTCTAGGAGGCCGGGTTGACACCTGGTGTGGGTGCTGCTTTGATAGCATAGTGGTTAAAATAAAGTCTTATCCGATACCAAACATAAAGTATTTCACAAACATTCTGTAGATTTCATTTGTCACTGAGGGCTATTACTCAAGAACTATCTATAACAGTTTTGTTAAACACATGGAACATGTACACACAAAAACCTACAGAAACATAAAGCAAACATACATTACTCAAATAAACTGTTTTACTTAAATGTCCATTAAACTTTGGAAGCGTTTCTGATCGCTTCTGTGTCTGCCTGAGAATGTGTATTCCTTGCAGACGCCAAAGGACAAGCGAACCAAAAGGTACTTCTCAAAAACCGGTTTGGTGGGTTTTTGATTGTAGAGCCTCTTATTGTTTTAAGGTGTAAAGTTAATTAACACGCAACTGTGATGTTGACTGGCTAGTTGTCCTGTGGATTGCCTTTTGCTGGGTGCCTGTGGATTGCTTTGAAAATGAAATCAAAGCTCAGACATTTAGGCACCAACCAATCTTTTAAGAAAAATATAGTCTGTGACTTGTTCGGTTCTGGAACGATCCGTTGACTCCCTACATCCCCCATTTGGATGGTGATGTTCCTGGCATGAACATCGGCAAACACTGGAACAAGAGGCATACGTAGAGAGAGAACAGACACACAAGACACAAACCACATTTCCATTCCATAGACTGAGTTCTGGTGCAGGTTTTAGCTTAAATTGTTCGGGTTAAGAACACAAGGTGTAGTGTAACATTGCCTGAAATAATTCAAATTTAGTTATTTAGCTAGTTTACTTCATTGCGAGTATGTAGTGGCGCTAGCTTCAACTTAAATGAGCAATAATTCTGCAGCAATTGATACTAATTTGGGAAAAGGAGTCAATCCTACTTTTAGGCCCTGTGAAGGAATTTACAGGAGTTCCCTGTAGAGGGGACTGGAACTGCAAATTAGTTAGGGAGAGAGAGAGAAAGAAAGAAATGAAGAGGCATAGTGATGCAACAAAACAAGGTAGGTTAAAAACCAGCAATAACAGTGTTGCATACGTGGAGTGGCTCCTCTCTACTAGAAGTTGTTCTAGCAGTGCTGTAGAGGAGAAAGTATTAGTGTTGTGTTTAACTAGGTGTTCCCTAGAATGTCAAAGGTTATGTTAGTATGTAGAGGGTAGAACAGTTGATCTGTGTCAAGTTGTGGTCCTCCCCCATTTTTTGTTCAATGATGATGGAGCTGTCAAATGTTCATCCAGTAATGGAGGTACCGGAGTTTGGCATGGGTCAGGAAGGGTTTCAGGACTGAACTTAGGTTTGTCGGAGGAGTGGCAGACAACCAGAACGGCACTTTTGGAAACCTGAGGGCTTTTATCTGCAAGTGTTTGTTGGTTCAGGTGATTGTTGCTTCTCCGCTCGGCGACTAGTCAGGCTGAATCTGCTTTTTCCTTTTCCGTTTCCTGTCCTCCTCTATGCATTTGAGAAACTCTTTCATCATCAATTTCACCAGTTCTTGAGGGTCAAATCCCGGTGGGGTATTTTTCTCTTGCTGGGATTGAGTCTGAGCGTTGTCAGGGTGGAAATGTTTGGAGTACCTTCGTTGACTCCTTGGACTTGATGATACAGGGTTTTGATGTCTTCCCTTGGATGGTGACCAGTTTTTGTTCGACCCCCATTGGTTTCTTTCCCGGTGGTGTTCAGGTGAGCGTCGTTGTCCACGCGGTCCATCCCAGTGACTGTTCCTCTGTTTGAATCTCGTGTCAGCGTAGGAGTTCCGTTGTCTATTGGACAAAGATGCATTCCACTCTGGGGATGGTGGTCTCACGCTATTTGAGCGTTGGGCACCCTCTAGTGCCAGTTCTGGATGGGTGTTAAAGTCAAAAACTGTGGCACTTTTAGTGTTTTTCTCTAACACCATCTTTTGTTTGTCGCGGGCTTTCTGTGTCAAATCTCGCAATTGCTGGATGCTCATTGTTCGTGGGCATGCGAGTACTCCGAGATGTTGGCTTACTGTAGGATGGAGGTTTCTCAGGAAGAGAATCTTAAAGTTCAGGTCTTCTTCCATATTCGGTTCGTTGCGAGTTCCGAAAAAGGCTTGCCTGAGTCGGTTGTAGTAAGCATGTGGGGACTCATTGCGAGCTTGTTTTGTCTCCAGAGCACCTAAAAGTCCTTGATCTGATTCAGGGTTTGCAAACTCTCTGATGAGGGCTTCTTGGAGCAAGCGGTAATCGTTCTTTACCCGAGCCGGTTGTCGGTCCAGGAAGCTGCGCACCTCAGTGCTGGATGTGGCTCGAAGCAAATACAGTCTTTCTTTATCAGAGACGTTGGGTCTCATTTCCAGGTGGAAATCAATGTCTTGCAAATAAGCGTGGACCTCCAAACCACCTGACACACTTGGAGTAAACTTGCCAGTGTTTCTGGCCAGCTTGTCAAGGTCTTTAAGGTCCAGACTGTATGACGATCTGTGACTGGCTATCACAGGCTCTCGTCGCTGTGGGGTAAGGTAAGGCTCTTCAGAAGGTGTTGGCGAAGATCTTCGGCATGGTTTCTCACCTCTTTCAATAGGTGAGAGCTCAGGGACAGGGGATCCTGTCCTGCTTGGCAGGGGCGAGGCTGGTGCACATCTTGTCTTTGGAGGTTCATAGCGCAGTGCATAGGCATGCCTGAGTTCACTGGCGGACTCCTCTTTGATGTCATCCACTTCCTGCATTAGTCTGTCGATCTCATGTCTTGCTTCGCTCAGGTGAGTTTCAAGGGCTTTGATTCTGGCCTTCTTGTCTCTTAAGTCCACCTTCGCTTCCTTCAGTAGCTGTTCAGCGTAATCTAGCTTGTTAGCGACGTCAGCGTGTTCTGCTCTGGCTTGTTCTCTTTCTTCTGTGACGACTGTTAAAGCTTCTTGTAGTTTGTCGATCTCCTCTTTGGTACCTTCATCCACCTCAGTTGGTTGTTCCAGACGTTCCTGAGCCTCTAGCTCTAGCTTCTCGATGCGGGCTTGCAGGTGTGTCAGCTTGTGTTGGAGTTGGGAGGCGTGTCTGTCACTCAATTTGAGGGTGGCTATGAGTGTGTGACTCAAAGTACCAGTGATTTTGGCTAGCTCCTTGTGGTTGAAGCTTTGACTTGGGTCTTGCTTCATGATGCTGTCTATGTTCTCATCCAATTGGTTTTGCGTCAGGGGCTGCAGTGTTTCGGCAGCTTTAGGGAGGAGACTGCCTGTTACAATGCTCAGCCATGTTTCCAGGTCCTTCCAGTGGCCAACAGGGTCTTTGGGGTGAGCCATGTTTTGCGGCTAGGGGAGGACTTAGGATTTAACTGACACAGACCTTGAAGAGAGATAGAGAGGAGAAAGAAAAAACAAGGTAGAACAAAGCAAACAGACAAGGAAAAATGTTAATGTGCAATGTTAAGTGTGTTCTAATGTTGAGTGAAGTGTGCTTCTCTGGAACTGTGACCCTCTGGTGGGTACGCGTGTCTAACTGGTAGTCTCTGTGGAAAGAGTCAGTAGCACAGACACAGTGAGAGAACAAAGAAAACAAAAGTGTTAAGGAGACTAAGGAGTAGGGTGAAAATCTGTAGTTTCCACTTTCCTAGAGAGAGGGTTCCTTTAGCTTTTGTTAAATATAAAAATAAGATTTCTAAATACCAGGACTGAAGTTGCTATTAACTTTCTTCTGAAGTGACAGAAAGTAGGACAACAATAACAGTATTGGCTTCTGAATAGGATTGACTCCGTACACCAAATAAATTGTTTCTGGATGCGTGTTTAGAATTGGATCTAACGACGCCTATCTTCTTGGTGACCTGATGAGTGAGAAAGGAGGGGTGAGATCAGACAATTTTAACAATTAAAAGTGTTCAAGTGTCCCAAACATCTATTAAATGTTTCTAAAATTCTCTGCTTTTTGACTCTCACAAGCACAATCCTTAAACCAGCATCAATAGTACAGTAAAAAGAAGATAGTTAGTTGAAAGAGATAACAAAGGAGTTAGTTTTCTCTTAGCATTAGGTGTATTTAAGGATGTCAAAGCGGTGGCGCTGTCGAGTTGACACTACAAGAAGTGTTGGTTTTATTGTGTTATATAGTAACCACTTAGCCTACTTAGTAGAAAAATCTGAATTTTCCTTTTGTAGTTTGGCTAATTGAAGGAGGCTACTGCTCTAAGACTAGGCTCAATGATGACTTAGGTTGGTACCTTACAGCTCACTGGGCTGGACTGTCCAATTGCATCAATAAAGCAGCAGGGGGAGCACTGTCTGTAAGCAGGCTTAAAATAAACTAAATTTAATAGGCTAAATTCAATTTTGAATTGAACTTAACTTTAAATCTTTAACGTGGTAATAACTTTTATAAGTTATCATTAAGATTGATAAGAACACTTATGACTAAATTTAATTATTAATTATTGCTAAAATGATAAAGCCATGCATAAATGAACCATTAATGAAATTAAAATTTCAAAACAATGAAGTTGGTTAGAGTAACATTTAATGCAGTTTATCATTAAATTAAACAATTATAATTTAATTAATCAGTGAGTCTTATCCGTATAAATCAACAGTTATAGGAAATGGGTGTTCCTAGATGTTGATGAATGGAAAAAGTATTTATAATTGAATAAGTCAGAGAGCGTTAATTTATAGTAATGAAAACAAAACTATAATTCATCACTTATAAAACCAACCGCTTATGTGAGTTCAAACTGATCAAATTCAACAGGCCAAGTACAGCAGGAAAAACAAAAATTAAATAAAATAATAGTGATTAAACTCAGCAGTTAGATCGTGCACACTTTGATTAACTTTGCATTTGTTAACTTTTCTAAGGTGAGTAAAGAGAAACAACTGAGATTCAAGAGTTATTTCAAACATCAGCCATACAATGCATTTAAGACCACTAAATGCTACGTGCTATCTATTAGCCTTCGCTGCTACTGGAAATGTATAGACTTTAATGCAAACGCGTTAGCGTTAGTTTAGCTTAGCTTCACGCTATGCTCTTTGTTTACAATTCAAGCTGGCGCTGGCGGACTGCACATGCGCGCTTGAATGTAATTCCGGCAAGTCTCTCTGTACCTCCGGACCAAGGTTGCTGCTTTGGCAACGACCACAAAGTGGAATAATAGCAAATTTCACAGTATCACTTGAGATGACGGCACATCTCACACTGTTCAAGCAAAAAGCACTAGTTAGATTTTATATCTTAACAGTACTGAACGATTCTCAACTTATGAAAGTGAGATAAAATTAATCAACAGGATTTCTGAGATTAATACAAATCGTGACAGAGATATGGGGGATCTCAGCACTCTGTGTTAAATCTGTTTAGACTGCAAACACATCCGTGGATTCAAACCACAATTTTAATTGATCAATTTCAAAACTTCTCCTATAAACTACGCTAGGCAGCTCTCTCTGGGCACCGCGTTTTAAATAATTTACTAAGTCTTAGCAAATTACAGGGCAACAAGAATTTAGTTAGCTATGCTAAATCAGTTACCAGGAGAAAACACAGCTGAGTTTCCATCCGGGAATCGCGGCGTACGAAATCATACTGTCAAGGCCTTATATAACGTTATGAGATAAGCACAAAGGAATACGCTTTGTCTTTCTCTACATGCGCTTTAGAGCGGCTTACAGTGTGTCTCGGCGGACAATTTAAATGAAGTTTTACTTTCTTAACAACACTAAATGCAGTCAAGCAATAAAACAAAAGGTACCACAATGAAATTGTGCTGTAACAAAACTTCTGTTCTTTCTAATCTATCCTTTCCGGACAAAAATAGAAAAGATTAACAACGTGATTTCTGGGTTTTGTGCTTTAAAAGTTAGATCTGCTTGCCCGCATTCTCCACCACTATGTAAGAATCAGCTCTTTGGTTTAAATCATGTTTAAACTTTGGGGATTCAAATCAAAGATTCGAACATGATTCACATAGAATTATTTAAAGCTTACACTTAACTTAAGTATTTGTCCAGCAAATAGAATGTTTAGTGTAAAGCAATTCTGTATTATATTATTACGTGGCCAACAATAACAATATAAAAACAGTATCTAATTATTTAATGAGCAAGGTAGCAGTATCTGAAGCTGAGGCATTAACTTATAAAGCACACAACACACCAACACGGATCTTAAAACGAAACAAAAGTTTATTGCTACTCTATAACACAAAGTACTAATCTACGTAAAACAAACAAATGCACATACATACACACACGCACAAGCAGTTTGAGGAGAGTTTTGGCTGAGTGGATTTAACTTCTAGCCTTTGCTAAGTTCTTAGCATTGCAACCTGAGAGAAACCATAAAAGCAGAGAATTTTGCTATTCTTTACTACTTAAACATAATTCACACCAGATTCAGTAATGGGTAGAAACCTTGTTTGTGCTACTTGCGTTCTGATGTAATTTTTGGTTTCCTCGACTGGTCCAAAGGGAAATCCCAGTGAAGCTGATTGGTCAGCGTAGCAACTTCAGTGACGTGATGGAATTCCCTTGTCGGTGAAGAGGGGTTTCCTTAGTCGGTTGCTAGGGATACGGATGTTGGACAAGGCGGCGTTCGAAGTCCTTTCTGGGTTCCTGTAGTTATGATGAGTTTCAGAGTTTGGATGTGTTGACCCGATGGCTCGTTGTTGCACAAGCAGATCGGGGGTCGAGCCGGCAGCAAGTGAAGGTCGCGGTCTGCTCCGTGATGTAACGAGGCTTCCGGCGAGGCGATGTAACGGCCACAGGACGAGAAGAGCGACGTCCGGGCAGCGACGGCGGTGACGACTGGCAAAAGATGACCGGCAAAAGACGACGATGAAATTCCTTTGTTCAAAGTTTCATAGGCTTTGGTAGAGGCTGGGTCTACACAATACTTGTCCAATCAGATAAGGTGCGGGGTGGAGTCACACCCCAATTCTGCCCTCTAGGAGGCCGGGTTGACACCTGTTGTGGGTGCTGCTTTGATAGCATAGTGGTTAAAATAAAGTCTTATAACATCAACACTTTTCATAGTATGGTTTCTTCATATAAACCAATGCATTTGAAATGTTCCTAGCTTTCAATCAATACCAAACATGAAGTATTTCACAAACATTCTGTAGATTTCATTTGTCACTGAGGGCTATTACTCAATAACTATCCATAACAGTTTTGTTAAACACATGGAACATGTACACACAAAAACCTACAGAAACATAAAGCAAACATACATTACTCAAATAAACACAGTTTTACTGTATGTCCATTAAACTTTGCAAGCGTTTCTGATCGCTTCTGTGTCTGCCTGAGAATGTGTATTCCTTGCAGACGCCAAAGGACACGCAAACCAAAAGGTACTTCTCAAAAACCGGTTTGGTGGGTTTTTGATTGTAGAGCCTCTTATTGTTTTAAGGTGTAAAGTTAATTAACACGCAACTGTGATGTTGACTGGCTAGTTATCCTGTGGATTGCCTTTTGCTGGGTGCCTGTGGATTGCTTTGAAAATGAAATCAAAGCTCAGACCTGAAGGCACCAACCAATCTTTTAAGGATAACATGGTCTGTGGCTTGTTCGGTTCTGGAACGATCCGTTGACTCACTACATATAGTTGGTGAAACACTTTTCGGTGTTTATTAAACTCATCTGGTCATCGTCTGTTTCTTTTAAAGTCTTTAAATTTAATATTAAGCCTTGAAGGACAAATACTTAATTTAATTCATAGGGCATATAATTAAATAAATATGATTCAATAATTCATGTAAAGCATACAATGTCATAAATATTAACATATTAATTAAATAAAACTAACATCAGCACTGGGAAAAAATATTTAGCCCAGCTTTGTAAGCTTAATTTGAACAAGAAAAATATTCATCCTAAAACATAAAATAAATGTTATAGAAACCAAAATTTTACTTTCTGAAGTGTCAACATATTGTTACAACACCAACTTATACATTTTTTTTATTGTATTTCTTGAAAAGTAAAGCTTCAATGAATGATCTGGCAGATAGAACCTCATAATTCCAAGTAGAAAATGACTTTTCAGAATGAAAAGGTTTTATCTGCATTTACCATGTTTTTTACTCCAATTTGTAAGTGCAAAGTAACTTTGTCATGACAGAGACTCTAAGGGTTCTCTAAATGCAAATGATCAATGTATGAAAGAGAAATGCTAAACACATATTGTTTGATATATGGAATGCAAAAACTTTTAAGCTTAATATCTCAAAGTCATTCAGAACGCAGATAGAACCTTATAATTCTAAGGTGACGATTTGCCAAACCTATTTTACACAATCTCATTTCGCTTAATAAACAGTTTTGTCTTAAA